CTCCCGTGTTCACTGAGTTAAAATGGCTGTTTTTGTCAATGGAGTCTGGTGGCTTTAAAGAGAGCAGTATGACGAATTCAGTTCCCGTAAGACAGAGCTGTCCGACAGTGAAGTAAGTGGTGAAAATATTTTGAATTTAGTGCACGCTTAAACTGATATTGATGTTTTTAGGTGGCGAGAATACGTTTTGCTGTTGCGTCTGTCCACAGCAGACACAGCTTAGCGTCTGTGGCTGTACTCCTGCCTGCCTCTCCCCGCTTTAAAATATCCAAACTATTCCTCTGGCCAAATCTAATCACTTCATATACTGCTGTGTAGTTTAATCTGTAACATTGCACCGTTCTCTATGGAAAATCTTAATCTAAAAAGTAACTGCCAGATAAATGTAGGTGGAGTGAAATGTACAAAATCACCCTTCGAAATGTAGAAGTGTAGAGGTAATGTAGCATAAAGTGGAAATATTAGAGTGACATACCTTAAGTGGTGCTTAAGCATAGTAATTGAGTAAACTAAGTAAACCTATACTCAGTTACTTTCCACCACAGGACACAAAAGTGCTGCAGCAGAGTAAATATGCACAACACCTCGTTTCACCTTCATTTAAAAAACATGTTGTGGAACATCACAGAAAATGAGACAAACATAATCAACAGATAGCAGTGAGGGACACACAGGAACAGAAAGGGAAAAAAGAGAGTGACAGACAGAGAAAGAGAGAAAAAGGTCAACAGAGAAAACAGAGAGTGAGTCAGCGGGAGATTCACAGGAACGAAGCCCGAGGCTGAGCCAGTGAGGTGTAAGTAGCTTTAGAATAAACATGAGCTCCATGTAAACAACAACCTGCCACTACAAGCATCGGTTACGCACCCACACGGACCTGGTGGGGTTCTGGATTCAATGATGTGTGTTTGTATGTGTGTGTGTGTGTAGTGTATACTCAGGGTGTCCCTGGGGCTGAAGAGCCTTGCCTGTCATCCCTCCATCACTCCTGTCTCTACCCACTTACATCCATAAAGCCTGTCATGTTGATCAAGAAGCTACGGGCCTGCAGCCTTTTGTGATTGTCAAAAGTGTGCACATGTGAATGTTTGACTGTATAATTGTAGCCTGATTTTCTGTTTGTGACTGCCATGTACAACAGAGCAGCAGAGTACAAGTACTCAGACACCACTGTGCTCCTTTGGCTCATTACTTCAGTCTGACCTGTTTATTATGCAGTCAGTGTTCAAAGAGGGGGGGGGGGGGGGGGGGGGGGAACGACTTCTTTCTCCTCCAGAATCATTCATGATGGACGGCTTTCATGTTCACAGCAGAATGACGAGCAGACTGAGACCTCTGTGGAGGATGAGCTTCAAAGTGACGTACTGTACGCACAAGTCCAAATGCAAATCCTCAGAGTACAGGGAGCGCATCACTACAGTGCTGACCTCTCTGCACTGGCTGCAAGTTTAAATATTACATGTTAGTACATTTCTGAAATGATGTGTCCATATAGTAACCCAAGACTCCCAGCTGGCTAACCAGCATGGATTTTCTCAGGGCTTGACCTCACATGAAGAAAGACTGCATTTGCTGTCTGTGCACAAACCTGGACTTGAACAGCAATGGCTTGTGACTTCACTGGGACTTGACTTGACAATACTTGATACAGGTCAAATTTGTTTGATTCAAATCCAACAACATCCAGTCAAGCTGCAGGAGATAACCACAAAGAACTTAAATTACATTACTGAGAACCAGCTGTAAAAAAATGATACTAAAGGTAACCGACCCTTTACTAAGCCCGGCCCCCAGATGCGGACTGGCCAATCATAACGTAGGTTGGCCCGGCTCAGACCAGGGTCCCACAACAACTCAGCTGTGCTCCATTGACTCTAATGCAATCATTTCAGATTTCCTTCATTTTCAGGCTGGTTTTGTAGATTTGGAGCTAAATGTTATGCCTGGGGCACGTCGTGTATTAATGATACTCGTTACCTGGAGAGGTTGGAAAAAGATATACGTTTCTTCCCTGTTCCAAAACCAAAATCAAACCCTGAAAAGTGTAGGGTTAGCTAACGTTAGCTAGCTACTGAAGATATAGCTTACTGAATGTATACACATGCTGCTTTTGCTTTTTAATGATTATAACAGTGAAACAAAGACCGACCCTGCTGTACAGGAACCAGTGAAGGGAAGCAGGGGAACTTTGCTGATATTCAACCAGCTGTGTGTCATCACATTGTGCGCAGATGAAAGTTGTTGGACTTCCCTTAAAGATCGTGGTCCGGGTGTTGGCAGCGGCACAGGGGTAAAGCCAAACTCTGTTCATCTGCACACACGCAAAGTTTCCCTTTATATTCATTGTCTTCTGTGGCGATCAGCAGTGATGTGGTGGTTCACTTTTACACTGTGATCTGTAGCCTATAGTTCGGCTTTAGCTTCTAACTATCTTTGTCTTTTTAACCTTTTGTTGCTGCTGAGTCAGTTTGACATCCTGGATATATCCTTCAAACACACAGACTGTAGACCCCTCTGTCTGCTTCTCTCTGCAATCACTGTTTCATTTATCCAAAAATATGATAATATTTCTTCAGGGAGTGCAGTTACTTACAGTGTGGGCTCCATGCTTACTCCAACAGCTTGTCGGACCATCACGAAGGGGCGGGGCTTAGTGAACGGTCAACTGCATTCGTGTACTATGCCACGGTCAACAAGAAATGACTTGTAGTATGCAAAATGTGGAGGTTGAAAATTACAGATGGAGATGCAACAACTTTCAACAAACTTGTTTTGATAAATAAATACATAGTTTAAAAAGTATTCATGATTTTTGTGAATTTAATATATTACTATTCTGTAGTTAAAATGGCATTATATTTGGTGGAGAGCCCATGATGAATTGTTTAAGACTTGAAAGTCAAAGTTTAGGTATTGGGACTTAACTAGGGACTTGCTTACTTAGAGACTTACTTGCAACTTTCAAAACAATGACTTTGTCCTGTCTCTAATATTCACTAAAAATAATCAAACATTTGACATGAGATGATGATGAGATGACTGAGACAACTCACCATCAGATCAGGTCATCTAGTTCTTGGTTATAAAGCAAATATTCCCTAAAATGTAAAACTCTCAACAGCATCACTGGGTGTGGTGAGAAAGGTTCTGTTACACCTGTAACCACACGCAACGATGATGTTTAGGAGCACTTACACACCCTGGAGTAAACTTCTACATCTCTACAGAGTGGTGGGATGGTGTTAAGTTGCTCTTTAATTGATTTTATCCTGCAGCACTTTGTAACTTTTGCTTAGAAATGTTCTATATAGATAGATAATTCATATCTGTCCTTGTGTTCTTTGTTCTTTTTACACCACTTAATTGACTGTCAGTTGATCTCTGTCAGCCCTGAGAGGAAGTTGCAAACTGTCAAGCATCTCTGTCTGCCCTCAACCAGGTGTAGCCTACGCTGGGACACGACTCTGTAAAGCGGGTAGAGAAAATGAATCAATGATTGCATGAACTGACATTCAATCAGTGTGTTTGATGTAATAAAGAAGCTGAACTAGTCTAGGAAAGTAAATAAGTATTATCATGTGGGCAGGCTTACACTGCAAGTGAAACTGTGACAAAGCAATGACGCTAAAAAACAACAGACATTATAAACGCTCCCGTCATCTCGTTTTCACATCACCTGCTTCTTTTAAACCTTTGCCATTCTGCTCAATGTCTCCAAGTGTCTCAAACACATAAACAACCTCACCGGTGTCCCCCATAACCCACCACCCTCCAGGACCCTGGGGCCCAATAAGCAGACATCTGCAGACAACCTCTTCCACCACGCTCCAGCAAACACAGGCAGAGAGTGTTTGAATGTGTGTGTGTGTGTGTGTGTGTGTGAGAGAGAGGGAGGTGGATGTAGTTCAAGGGCACGAGTACTCCATCAAGCTTGAGTCCAGGGAATAACCACCAGCTTCCCCTCCCCCCTTTCGTGCACCAGAGAGGCACTGGAACCAGTCCTGAGTGCCCCTCTAAACACACACACACCTACAATAGAGTGTATCTATTACTGCACACTAGCTCTACTTCAGTTTTGATTTTGACCCTCTGCTGTTAGCCGCAGCCTCGGCGTGGCAGCCCCAGCCTTCCTGCCCCTGGCCCTGGCCGAATCCCAGCTCTGGCGTGGGTGGTTGGGTGGGGCGGCGGGGGGCTTTGGGGGCACTGAAGCTGTCCTCTGGTGCTCTTGCAGCCCTGCCTGCTCATCCATCCTAGCCTGCCAGCCCACAGATCGATAGCTCTGCTCTCTTAATCAGGTCTCTGGTGACTGTGGGCGGACAAGTGTGTGTATGTGTGTGTGGACAGGAGGTTGTATCGGCTGGGGGTTGCACTTGTGTTTCTTTCCATCTTCACTTCTCTGGCTGTTCATCATGACTGTTTATCTCAACCGTATTTTACTGCCTTTCTTCTTTATCTCCAAATCCTTTACATATCACTTGCTCAAAACCCTACGCTGACTTCTTTCGACATCATTTCTGTCATCCCCTTCTATCAACTTTCTCGAGCCAGCTCTTGTTAAGGCTCCAGTCTCTCTGACAGTCCTGCTTTATATTTTTTCTCTTCTCTGTGCCTTTTCTTTCATCTCTTCACGCGCTCTCTGCTATTCTGGCAGCACGCCAGGGCTCATTCAAAAGGAGTCTTCACAGTCAAGTTGGTCCCGGTGCCACTGCAATCTGTTTTGACTTGTGATGAAGACAGAAGAGGTGAAGTATTGGAGAAATGGAGATGAGAAAGGATGAGAGGTGAGAAGAGCGAGCAGAGAGAGAGGGTTAGTCAGATGGAGTGCGGGGCATCCAGCTGTGGTGTTGTGCCTTGCTGGAGAATCCGCCTTCAGGCTCTCATCGCACCTGTGTAACCGCAGCTGCACAGACACGCACACACATGCACAGAGAAAACAAGTGTGACAACACTGTGGTTTATGAAGAAGTCGCAAACAAAAATAACTCCAAAACACTTTTTTATTTCTATTTTGTAAAACTTTTTTAATTTTCAGATAAACATTATCTGTTATTTCAAGTGCATCAGTGTGTGTGTACAATGCTGAGACTTCATATTAACACTGTGTTCTCACTGATCATAATTCAAAGTTCGTCATGTCTCCTGTTCTGCCACCACATTTGTCATTTTAGCGTGGGTGTAATTAACCATGATTCTAGACACCACACCTCTCTACGATCTAAAGTCATTCTGTATTCTCTGATCACACAATTTAAAAAATCTGAATATTCCAGTAAGAGTACTCAAAGCACTCTTCAGCAGTATGAGCTGCTGTGTTGAAGTGTTTCTAATGGAACAGTTGAGTCCAGTTCATGGTGCATGCAATTATTCATTAAAGCAGACTAAACTACCTGATCCCGTCTCACTAAGGCACTTTGAACGATCGGTCCTGTAATTCTTCTGGATGCAGACATTCCAAAAATAGAGATACTGACTTTGAAGTACCTATATCACATGTTTAGTCCCACTTCTATACTACTTACCATAGACCAGTGGTTCCCAACTGGTGGGTTGCAGTCCAAAATTGGGTTGCAGGTCCACTGTGAGTGTGCAATGGACTTGCAAATTTATCAAGTTTTTAAAAAACACACACTATATTCTGAAGTACAGTGAATTTGCGGTACAGAGCTTTCATTTTGAAGTGCCGTTTCCTGCTGCAGAGAGAGGGACTAACGGACAGCTACTAATTATGACGCTGAATATATTTAATTGTGTGGACCTTGAGCTAATTACTAAGGAGAAACCTGGACCCCGTAGCCGGACCAGTTGGAAACCACTGCCATAGACTGTATAATAGAAATGAATGACATGACAGGTCCCTTAAAGTGAAGTCAAAACAGCTTGATTGCCCTCTGGTGGCTGGCTGCAGTATAGCTCATAAAGCCCGCCACCTCCATGTTAGCAGACAGGACATAGGCCAAGCTAAAATATTGAAGTACACGTTAAATAAAGTTTCCCAAAGATGGTTTCTTTCATTTAAGGTAGTTCTTATGCTGTTGTGTGTTCAAGAGTTCATTTTGCCAGTAAGTGTGGTTTTTGTCAGTTACTTGATGCCATAGAAATGGGGATGACATCATGACTGATAGCTGTGTGTGTCCGTCGGCGTGCTCGCAATCAGCGACACCGCGGGCGATTCAACGACAAGAAGAGAACTCAATACCACAGAGATGATGTCACCTGTGCAAGATGGTAGTGGCCGTATCCGGGGTATTTTGGCTTCATTTTTGTACAGTGGGAAGTGGAGATGCTTTGTCCATCTTTATATACAGTCATTACTACATATCAGTTGTACGAGGTGTGTACTGTATATAAATCTTTACAATACCAGTGGCTGTCAAGTGACAGTCAACTCACTAAAATCTGCTTTTACTTTGTTCTTTACGCTGCGGGACAAAAGTGTCCATTAAGAGCACACTCAAAGTTTTTTAGTCAGCATACTGACTGTTTAGCATTATAATTCTGTTATGTTTCCAGTGTGAACATACCACATATTCCAAACTTGCATTCAGTTTGTATTACAGAATTGAGGGACCACTACAACTGCAAACCCTACATAAGTGGGTCATATGTTGCACACCAATTAACAGTACTTGGCAGCATCTAAGATATGATATGTCTGTCACATCCATGTTGGTTAGTTTAAATTTTTACCACTATTTTTGATGCTACTTCTGATAATGTTGAGATCTTCATGATAAATACAGTCAGGAACACATTCTGTGTCCTCTTGGTGGAGTGCTGTTACATATTGTCTCAATAAGTTACGTATCAAAGTGATGATTTCCAGACCTGCCTTACACAGTAACTGATAAACAATGCTTGGCATAATTGGCATTCAGTGTAACAGAATTACCTTCGGAGCAGTGTTCGAAGTTGTGATTAAGTTACCTCAGAGGTTAAGTCATTTTCCATGAGGTGTTTTTCCATTACTTTGTGTTTCCTCTGCACACTTGTCTGATCTAAGGACCAGATGGGGACAGTCAGGACATCTGCAATTCTTTAACCAGGATCCTGTGTGTTGTCATACATATCAACGTGGTCCAGTCATGGGAAGAAGTGTCGCAGGAGGTCCTTCTTGTTGACCTTGCCCATCTGATTCCTCGGCATCTCCTCCACCAGCACCAGGCCTGAGGGGATGGTGTAAGGCACCATGTGCTCCCTACAATAAACACTGATGTTAATACACTGAAGACTGTTTACTGCAGAGAGGGAGATAAACACAGACAGCCATGCACAACGATACACACACACAACACTGATCAGTGTGCACACATGGGCGAGAATATGCACACGCACACATATGCAACAACGGGGAGAAAAAAAACAATAACAAAAAAAACAGAAAACAATTGCAAAACAAAGGCTAGCCCCCGTGGCAGAGTAGTCGAGATAAGAAAAGAAATGTCCTTCATACACTCTGCAGCTCTCCTCCCTAATATCCACAATTCGCCTTCCAGACACAGACAATTCCCTTCGTACAAAACAATATAATCACTGTGAGATGAAATAAAAAAAAAATTAAAAAAAAAACAAATAATAAAAAGAAAAACAGAAGGCTGGGATAATTAAAAGTGTTTTATTTTTTCGGTTTTGAGTGCATGGCTGTTACGTCAAGTCTTGAAGCCTGGAGCTTTTCTATTATCTTCTAACCTAGTTTGTTTGTTTGTTTGTGCCCGAGTGTGTGTATGTGTGTGTGTTCCTGTGTGCATGCTTGTGGTGCGAGTGAGCATAATGACTCATACTGCTGCCATCAAACACTCCTTTCAGCAGATGTCTCCGTCTCTCTGACTCAGTGAGTAAAGTGTGAGTGAGTATATGTGCATACATACACATCTCTGTAATGGGGCTTGCTCGTGTCACCAATTTCTCTGGGGCGGTGTGTTTGTGCGTGCGTGTGTGTGTTCGAGGCAGTGTGCGGCGCACAGGGTGTGATAGAAATTCAGACTGACAGCTGAAGCCAGGGCACTGAAGAGTGAGCATCCATCTACTTGTTTATGTCTCATTTTATCTCCCTCTCCCTCTCTCCCCTACACCCTGGCCTCAGCAGAGGGCTGTGTGCTGGCACTGCCTGTCCGCTGGCAGCACCCCTGGCTGCAAACACTGTGTGTAAGAGTGTGTGTGTGTATGTGTGTGCAAGTGTGTGTTAACCTGGGTCACAAGCAGTCGCAGAAATCCACCATGCTGGACCAGCAGGCCACAGCAGTAGGATCTAAAAACCCCCACACCATATGGGGACCACAGCCGTGACACACACATACAAAATGCACTCATACAGAATTCAGAGATGTGAATAAATGATAGTGGTGGGTAGTAGAGTTAGTGTAGGAGACAAAACAGATGGTGGGAAAGTAAAGAAAAAAGCAGACAAATGAATTAGACAAAATTATACGTAGAGAGGGTGGAAAATTTTAAAAAGTGCCTTCAGTCACTCCAAAGCGAAGGGCTGCAAGTCACCACCGACTTTCTGCGTTAGACAAAATAAACTCTCCTGACATTTAGAAAGGGCAGCACAAAAAAAAAAAACTGTTAGCACGTAAGACAAAGCCCTCCGTAACAATCATTTGTTCACTTCCTCCACATCTTCCTCTTTTTCATCTCCTCATTAGTCCATCTCTGGCCTCTCTTTCTCTCACATCCCTTCCTATTGATCTGAGGACTCGGGGGCGGGTCACTGGGGATGTGTGTGCTGAACTGCAGAGTCTGCATTAGAAGCCTTCATTTGTTTACCACAAGACTGACAAAGAGATGTGGAAGTAGCCTTCTTGAATCAGCGCAATAAGGTTCAACCGAGGCAGGGTCAACACTCCTTTGCAATAACAGGAAATGGGGATCTTTTTGTGTTGTTGTTTTTTCTGTTGGTGAATTCAGGATGGTGGATTGGTTGTAAGTTATTCAAGCCACAGTCTACACTGGCAGTATAAGTTGGAAACCACCTGCTGCTGCAAAGTTTACAAAACTATGAGAAAGAATTTTACAAAGTAATTATAAACTTTACTTCTACCAGGAAAGTGAACTTGGACCGCTGCAAAAGTTGAGCCAGATAAAACTTTTTTGCAGAGTAATCCTGTGTCTGTGTCTGTTTGTGGACTTGGTTTGAAGCCTTAAGTTCAGCATTTTGGCTGTTGCCATCTTGGATTTTTGTAGCCAGAAGTGACCTGAGATGACCATATTCCAACGAGAGGGTGGAGCTTTGGAAGAGGGTTGTATCTGCCTCATAGTGTGTTGACGTATTGCAGACAGCCTGTCACTCAGCTTTATTATGCATAACTTTAAGCCTAAATGACATTAAAAAGGGCGAGCTATATAAAATTCACCCATGAAGGAGGAGGTTAGCTATAAAGAACAAAACAGTTTTTTGTTCCGGGCTGTAAACATGTTAATGGTGTAAAGGTGGGTATTTTAACATCGGTGTCTATGAGGATTGACTCACTTTTGGAGCCAGCCTCACGTGGCCATTCAAGAAAGGGCAGTTTTTTGCACTTCTCCACTGGCTTCAATTTCAGCCCCAGAGGCTGCTGCTCAGTCTGAACACAACCTTCGACTGAGGGATGCAGGATTATTGCAAGCATCTTTCCCACTCCACAGAGAAAATAATAACAGCATGCCTACAAAGGTCAGTTAGTAATCTATTATCAATGTGTGGCATGCTTTCACATCACTTCAAAAACACGGATACACACAACACTCAAATGTCATTAGAGAGCTAACCAACAGACAGATTATCTATCTGAAAGTCACAGTACCTCGCCCAGGTCTTCAACTCTGCCAGGGTCATACTCTGCCCGTTCTTCAGCTGCACAACTGCAGTGACTTTCTGACCCCAAATGGCATCTGGGGCCCCGATCACAGCCACATCTGCAGATTAAAAATCACACAAGGCAGACATGCTGTTCAGTTAAAAAACTCAAATTTTATCATTTTGCAGTGCAGTGCTCAAGTAGTTAGACCTCTGCATGTCATTTTATTGTTCTATTTGTTGTGAAAAATTCATAAAATGAGGCAAATTGTACACATTTGCTCCCTTTCTTCTCTCCACTGGAGTTACCTCCCTGGTTGTCGCCACTCTGCCCATGTCTTGCGTTTGGCACTGCAGCTACCTGAGTTAAGATATAATACCGTGTGGCCATTACACTCTGCTGCATTACACTCACTTTTTAGTCAGAAGAATGTAATGATCATCAAATATGTTAAAACCTGAGGCAGAGTTGATGCAATATAAAATCAAGTTAAAATAATTTTTTCCATCACTGAACTTTCTTCACCACTTTTCTACTTTTTAAATTGAATTTGCATGTCCTGTTCTTGTTGGTGTGCTCAAAGGACATCTTTTAAACTTTGTGGCCCTTTTTTGTTTCATTTTGGTTTTATATATTGTTGTTTTTTGTTTTTTTATGGTGCTTTGTTGTATTTTAGGTAGCCTTGTGTAACATCTTGGCCAAGGGACTACAGATGAAAAACAGCCTCTTGGCTTATTCTGGCATTTTTAATTTGCACTGTCAAGTCTTAAGTAAACTAAACTAAACTGAAACCGATGCTACCTTCTCTTTGTCGTGAAAGATTTCGAGAACAACAATGCCTCTGCTTCTTTTTCTTGCTGGTCGGCCATCCACTTCTTCCCTATTCCTCTCTCTCTCTTGTCGCGGTTATATTTGTCCCGCAGGTTACACCACATTTTCTTCACTGCTTCTTGATCAAACAACTGTCTAAAGGCTTTTGGATGGATGTGAAAAAAATGCCAAAAATGGAACCTGTTATGAAAACTTTTATGACGGATTAAAGTTTTGGAGTTGACACAACATGTCATCAACATGTCACAACATGTCATCTCCACGTCAACATCTTTTCTGTATGTTTAGAATCATTGTCCTGCTGCACTGTCCTAAATTCTGAGATTATATTGTCTATTTACAAGGGGCTGAAAGTCCTGTAAGTGTTGACCTAATTTGGATATGAACAACCTTAAATTCCTTGACACTTTAACTTTACTTCAATGTGCTCCAGAGCCAAGACAATTAAAAATGCATCCCAGTCTATCTACATACACGCTGAGACCAGTGCAGCACTCTTACCTATGATGTCTGGATGACCCAGCAGCTGACGCTCCACCTCAAGTGCACTGATCTTGTAGCCACCGCTCTTGATGATGTCAACGCTGGTGCGCCCCATGATCCAATACACACCGTCTCTATAGACCGCTGTGTCTCCTAAAAGACGTGTCCATACAAGGAGAAAGAGAGTACAGGTGATTTAAGAAAGGAAAGGAACTTTTTTTTTGGTTTATTATGATCAGGTAAAAAAGCGGATGGATTGATCAGAAAAAAATCTGTGACCTGATTGGTGTTTTGTATTTTTAAACAAGAGGAAGAGTCTACAGCCTCACTAGCTGCTCTGTGTCTGTATTTAAACACAGTGGCGTTCTGAGCGAAATGCTAACATGCACTAAATGGCTACTGCTGTTGCTGCAGGAAAGCTCAGGGAATCACCAAAATCATTAGAAATCATCGTCTGGACTTTATGGATATTGGTACTACTCTTCAAGGCAAGCAGTCCATTACATATTTCAGTTCAACCAAATGCAGAGATGGACCAACCGACCCACCAACACACTGAAAGACCAACATTGCCGTTGGCACAAAAAAAAAAGAACTAACATTTGCAGCAAAAACAAGCTGCAAATTGACCATTTACTGTTTTTAGTTACATTTATGGTGCACAATCAGCAGGTTATTAGCATTTTCTCCTAATTATTGCATTTTCTTTCTTTCAGTTGCTGAGTGTTTTCTTGTAGCCAAAAAAACACAACTTTAAGCTTTGTGGAGAAAAATCTGTTAATGTGTGTTTGTGACAGAGAAAGTCAGAGTGCAGTGAATGGATGAGTGTTAAGGATCCCCCCACATCATCCTCCAGACACACACACACACACACACACACACACACACACACACACACACACACATAGCTAGGTGTCTGGGGGACAGGTGTGGGAGAGGATGAGTACAGTATGTGGGATGTGGGGCTCAGCTGGGCCTGGGGATGACGAGCAGAGGAAATGGGTCAGTATGGATGAGTGGAGAGAGACGGAGGGGGAGAAAAATGGACAGAGGAGGGAAGGAGCGCAGAGAGGAAAAGGAGGAACAGGAAGGTGTCCTTCTGGATTATTACAGGTGGTGTGTCCACAGCTGGGACCGAGGGGAGGATGGATGTGTGTGTGTGCGTGTGTATGTGTGTGTGACGCTGTGATGAGGTTAAGTGGACACAGTAGTTAAGGTTGGAGTGCTGCATCAAGGCGGTGTACTAAGAGGTCAACAAAGGTCAGGGATAGGGGCCGTGTCTGTTGCTACATTATAAGTGAAAAAAACGTTCATCTGCAGGATGGAGTTTATGTTTCAGTTTCAGTTTTCAAGTCAAGTTTTAAGGCATATTGCTAAACCTGCGCACTCCATACATTTTATTTAATTACTGCCACAATATTTTGGTTTGAGGAAACCTGTGCTTTTCCTTATTATATATAATGTTATAATGTAGGATGTTCTAAATTAACATGGTCAAAGTTTCAAATGATGACATAAACATTTGTAAAAGTAGTCCCTGTGAGCCAAAACCTCAGGCGTCAGACAGCTCCAAATACTCTATTTCTAACATTTTTTTTCTACTTTTAAGACAAGATGACATCAGATCGTGACGAATTTCTGTACTTGGTCATCTGCTTCAGACACTGCAAGTGTTTACATTATGTAGACTACACTGCTACATGTTGCTACATGCTAGCATCAACAAATATGCAATTTTCGTTGCTGACATTACTAATATCTCCCTGATTTTGGATCATATTCCTGCTGGAACATATCCAGTTGTGATGATTTTGATTCAGAAGATTTTACCGGTGATTTTACATTGTAAAAAGTGTTGATATACTCCGTTACAGTCAGACGCTGGGGAACGAAAGCCCTGGAAAACCCGGAAATGCTGACTAATCAGAACAAACTGGGCTTTTTCGGGAGGAGGGCTTAAAAAGATAGATGCTAACATGAGTGTTTCAGACACAGAGGATAATACAGGTGTTACAGCACAGACAGTCTCAAGTGTTTTTTTGAACATAGAAGCATGTAAAAAAGTTCTAACAGAAACCCAAAATACAAGTATGAACCTGAAAATGAGCGTAACAGGTCTCCGATAAAGATGCTCTTTAGACCTTTTCTTTAAACACCAAACAATAATTTGAAATAAATGAAAAAAAAAAGGAATTTAAAAACTGGATTTTCAACTAGAATTCAATACCTGGCCTTGTGGAGGGACACTAAGACCACGGTGCAGGGAGATGAGATTTGGATAAATACAAAGAAAATTACTTTAAAAAACATTTTTGGTTGATAATCACTGAAGGATTTTGTGTAATACACTTACTGTGGGGTGAATCTTCTTATCTAACTAGTGTATCTCCCAAACTGTCAATGTCTGTAATTATATATTCCTTTATTTCTTAGGAGAGGTGCAGGGTTACACTGGGAGACTCTGGGCTCATTCCTTTACCTTAATCCTGAGTACTGCCCTGTTAGGAGCACTTCCACCAGGTTAATCTGTTGTGTTGCACACAATACAGCAGGACAAAGTCCATACTTGAAATATGGTATCATTAACAGAGAAGGACTGGCTCTGCCTCACCTGAAATCAACACGATGAAGCATTTTTGGAGAAGAATTGTATTTTGATGGTGGTCTGTTTTTACTGCCATCTTCCATCTCTCCACTACTCCATCATTTAATCTCATTTGTTCTCTACTCTAACCCTGTATCCCTCTATCCATCTTGTATTTCCCGTCCACTTTTTCAGTGTCAGCCAAACACACACAGCTATGTTTTTTTTATTTTTTTATTCTTGGTTTCATCCTTGTCCTCTATTTTTTTCTTCTGGAGCATCTCTCATCACATCTCCTGTTTCCTTCTCTCCACCTATTTTCCCTGTCTCTTCTTCCCCCCTCTTGCCTCTCCGCTTCAGCATCAATAGAGGGCCCATCTGTTCCCATACATCACGCACTTCATTTCAGTTTATTAGCTGGGATAAATCATAAATATTTCATTATACATCACGGGCGGCTGTCGCCTGCACACCGACAATTTATCACCGCTGCCCTCTCTGCCGGCTTGCCACGGCGGCTATAAGCTTTCCAGTCTATTAAACAAGATTGATACAGTGTGTAAATTTAGATATTGGGAATTTCTTCACAGACCACTGCTCCGCACTGATAGGCCAGGGTAACAGGGGAGGAGGGGGAGGATGGAGGGAGAGGGGGAGAGAGCAGAGGGAGGGAGAAGAGGAGCCTGGTTGGGTGTTAACACCACTAACAGGGTAGTTACAGTTTCCCCCTTTTCTCCTCCTCTTTTGGATGAGGGGGAAAAAGAAAACAAACTGTAGGAATAATTTGGTTACATCTTATGCAAATAGATGTGGAGAAATAGCAGTTTACATGCACACTGATAATCTGTTAGTGTGTCCTGTGTGTGTGTATGCATGAGCTGAAACTAATAAAATACCATAAATTTGGTCCATTTGGCTGCAAATGTTTAAGCGGCGGGAAGGAATCAGCATAATTGAGGCAGTGTTTGACAAAAGGGTTGAAAAGAAACACTCAGACAACATACTTGAATTGAGTTTGAAGTACTTATACAGGACTCTTTGACCTTGTCTCTTTGAGGAGGAGGAAATAACGAGGGAAAGAACAGCATGTTTGGAGAGAGGCACAAGTGGGAATAGTGATTGGAGAACACGGACTGATAAAAGAGGAAAGAAGGGCGGGAGAGAGATTGTTGGGAACTGTGTTACTAGGACGCACGCATACACACAGGCTTGTACACATACACACGGTACATACATATACACACACACACACACACACACACACACACACACACACACAAACACAACTTCAGGCATCAGAGACTCTCTGCCATTATGTGTTATGGCGTCGGAGGCAGATATGGCCGAATGGCTTTCTTAATTAAAACGATAAGAAGCCTAATTGCACTGGGCTTTCATCTCATTCTGAGGCATTAAAGAAAGTGAAGGCACACAGTGTGGAAAAAAAGAAGAAATAAAAACAGATCAAGACTTTAACTGGAGGATGGAGGGCAGAGAAAACTTCCATCATGTCTTTAAGAAAACAAGAAAATGACATTAGCTGGCTCTGCAGAAAACTTCACTCTGTTACGGCGCAATTTAAATTTCAGGAAATTAACGCTAAATAATTTCGAGCCATTAATTATCATTTTCACAGGAAAAACAACATCATGCAGAGAAGTGTGTTATCAACGGTGTTTTTAAAATTCCAGCTGCAGCATTTTTTTTTCCAGAGTAACACAAAATTGCCTTGAGAGGAATTTCTGCTGGAGTGTGACATTTTAACATTTTAGCAGAACTCTGGTGCTAACAACATCTGTGTCATTCTTGACAGTTTCAATAGCAAATGAAGCAAATTACATTGAACAAACCAGAGGACAGAAAGAGGAGATGTATGAATTGTCTGCAGTGACAGGGGTTACCAAATTTCTAGACACAAAAACAGGGTGTCTACGGGTATCAGACAGTTAATATGTAATGCTTTTTAAGACCCATTGAAGACACCTTTTAACCAAATTTAGGACACTTTTGGACAAATCATGTTTTACTTATTTAAGCATCGCAGGTAAGCATTGCAGGCAAGTAGTACAGTATATATGTGGTCTCGTGCAGAGGTGTTATGTGGGAATATAGTTATCAGAGTGAGTTAAGGCAGTCTATATTTTGCTGATAAGTAAGTGCAAGTATGAAGTAAAATGACAGTATTATAGTTTTTTAAAGATTCGAAACATTAGAAATATAGGAACGTTTGACTCATTTTCACAAGAAGAGATTCAAAATGGATAAATGAAATTAGATCAATTGTTAGTATTTGTGAATGTAGTAGTTAAGACCTCACAAATTCAAATTTAAGAATATTTAATGACTTTTAAGGCCTTATTGTTGTAACATTGAATTTAAGACTTTTTAAAAACCTCTAGACACAGTGAAAAAAACTCCACAAAACATGTACTACTGTATGCGGTGAGGGAGCCGAATTATCTGCAGAGGTCTCTTTCTCTCCACAACAAACAGACAAAGTGACCAAAACCTGGAAAAACATTGAATTAAACAGTTTCATGCTACATATCAATGCTTCTTCTTTGCTGTT